CATATAGAAGGTAACATACATCTCAACTAATGGTTGTAGTATTAGCTGTCTTGAGAGATACGGATCCATTTCAATATCGGAAAGAGGCCTGTTTGGATTAGAAAGAAGCCCAAGTTGTTTTTGTAATGGTGCAGTTCTGTTCAATTGGAAACCAGCTTAGGCTACTTTTTATACACGAAGCAGAGGGTGTTTTTTGTTCCGAGAACAGTGGTTCAGCTTCCTCTTTTTTGGGTGCCCCCTTTTCAGCCAAATTGCTATTTGGACCATAGTCGTGTTTTCATTTTAACTTGGAAATTTTTGTTTATTCTTCAATAAAAATTTACTATTAGGGGACACGTTTTGTAACATCTGAAGTTGTTTAGTTGGTTTAATAAATTTATAGAATTTAATAGTTTTTTACACCATCTTGGGGAAATCAATTTGATTTTATATATTAAAAAACTCACCCCTGTGAAAGCTTCAGAAAATGTTTTGTGGTTATAGTGATACTATCTAAAGGCCAAACCCAAAACCATTTTCCTAAAAACTGAATCTGACCACTCAACTGTTTTCTGGAAAAAAAGGAAATAGAATCCATTTCTTGCAGAGCCCCAACAAAAAATTCTAATCCAAACGCAAGGTAGAATGGAACACCTCCTAATTTCGCTCTTCAAGGCAGGCTGACTAGGTTAGCTCACTGTTTGAGTCTTTCATACTCCTTTATCTTTGGAGCTTTCCTTTAAACGGCTTAAATCATAGATCAATATGCAAGTATACAAGGTTGTCGGTCCAAGATCTGCTTATCTTATGAATGTCCATTGCTTAAGTTCTTTTTCTCCATTATTAAGATTTTGAAGGTTTAACCCATTTCAGCATGGCAGAAGATGCGGTTGATGCGGCTGTAAAATCTGGAAAATTGAACCCAGCGAATAAATGCTTGACATACAACCTACAACTTATAGGTGCAGATGGATGGGAACCTGCATCTTTTACGATACTTGCTCAACAGTATGTCCGCATGAAAAGGTCACGTGGAGGAAAGGTTGTTCCAGGAGTGATGGACACCGCTGCCGCTAAACATCTATCTCATGCATATGGTGCTTTGTCTGAACGAGTGGCTGCTATTGCTCAGGTTCGCGTTCTTCTTGGTTCCAACTGTTCCTTTTTCTGCTGGCTCTTTGGGTATATAACTTTATACTGACCTTAATCATTTTATGTTAAGTGCTTCTTAAGGTAGTTCATCGCAATACAAACTACTCTATAATACATGAAGAGGACAAAACTAAACATAAAAGGTGTTAGGCAATAACATGCTTGCTGATTTAGACACTAGTTCATTCTTTGGAGAGGAGCATATCAACTTTGAATTAAAATTCATTCTCAACAACACTTGCATATGGAGTAAATTTTGATTTTTGAAGCTTCCTATGTTATGAAAGAGTCATGGCAGTATCACTCTGGAATAAGAACTTTTGCTGTTTGAGAATCTTGTACTGTCAGTAGGTACTAGAACTTGTTGAATAGGATGCATGATAAATGCAAGGTCGATTAGACATTCTGGCTTTATAGCCCTTGTCAAGCAGAATTTTGAAAATACTTTAGGAAAACGTACACGATTTCACAGCCCCTCGGTATGATTTCAAGATCTTTACAAGGCATTTGTCATGGAAGATATTTTATAATCATGCAAAAGGGTTTTCCAAAGTACTTTTTTATTTAAGTTTTTCCAAGAAGTTATTGCCAAAAAAACAAAAACAAAAGTTTGAGCGTCTTTTAAAGAAAAAGGTTCTTTTCTACTCGCACAACACTCGGAAAATGCTCATAAAAGTACGACTTTCCAAGCACATTTTCTTTTTGCACAATTTTTTCCCGAAAGAGTTTCTCATAGTACTTTATACTAAAGTTGTTCAATCGGCTCCTTCATGTTTCACTTCAAAGTCATTTAGTGAGGAGGGTATTTTCTGGCATTTTCATGTCTACTTCTATGAGATTCCAGCTTAATTGATTGATCTGAATGATAGAACGAAAATTTGGGAAAACGACTGGCACATGGATACCCTTTCTTGGAAGCTGAGGTTGCCTACTGTGCTCGGGAAGAGTACTGTGAATCCGCTGTAGATTTTGTAGCTAGAAGATGTCGTCTTGCCTTCCTCGACACTGATGCTGCACAGCGAGCACTGCCACGAATAATAGAGATACTGGCTGCAGAGCACAAATGGGACAGGGCTAGGCAGAAACAAGAGTTGCAGAAGGGAAAACAATTTTTAGAAACTTTCAAGTCATCAAAAAATGCACAATTCCATGACGGGAAGCACTAGTAAGTTAATTCTATCATATACGAAACAAGTTCTTTTAGAGTGGTATTTCCTCTTTCTGACATTCACCTAATCATTGTTCTAGGTTCATAAAGCTGTATATCAATCTTCAAGCGGCGGATTTCGCTTTTACATTCTTCCATGTTATCTGGCAAATCTTGTTACGAGGAGTGACAAAAATCTTATACATCCCTTTTTTCGTGTACGCGTTATATATGCCTTAAAGCTGCAGAATGACCCATTTTGTCAAAGCTTATAAATTTCTTAGAAACAAATCATTTTTGCTCGGTCAGTTGCCTATTGCAACCATCAATGAAATAATTTTTCTTATAGTTATTGGATTTAGGACGGGAAATCATGGTTCATGGCCCCTCCGATGTAATAATTTCTAATTTGATTTAGCATAGATTAATGCACTTCAATATTGTTGATTCATTTGTTTAGTATTAATTTGGTTCAATTATTCTCTCCATCCTTTTCCTCTTCTTTTTTCTTTTTGGGATGTACTGTTCATGAATGTGGGAAAGTGAAATGGAACAAATTCCACTTATAGCTTACAATACGTACCAAACTTTATAAAAATGATTCAGCTTGAATACATGGTATGAGAAAAAGCTTGTTTTTTAGGACTTTAAACTTTCTTGTATTATAAGGTTGAGACCCTTTTTCTGCTTTATTCAAGAACAAATAACTTTGGTTCTTGAGTTGGATATTTCTCTACCTTTTTCAAGTAACTATCAGATAGTTTTGAGAAGATTAGCTATTTGGCTGCTTGCATTAATCAAGGAATATTGAAGAGAAATGGAAGAGATAAAATCTGTATTGCTCAAAGGCTCTTGATGTTAGATGACCATAGTAAGGATAGTAAAGTTGTTGATAAGTAAAGAGAATAATGCAAAGGAGATCACAAAAAAATGAGTTCCCTTTTTCCTTTAAAAAGGAATTCATAATAATAATAATAATAATATATTTAAACTCCAAGTTTATGTTATTAATGTAATGATATGCCTTTTTAAATATATGTTTTTCTTTAAATGAAAATAATTAATCATATTAATCCGGAACTCCAACCAAGGGATAGTAATGACATTTTGTAAACATGGCTAGATCTTTTTCATTTTTTGGGTTGACTTATGGGTCAAAAGGGTTCCCTTTTCGTTACCTCTAAAACTAGAAGGAACGCTAAAGTTTAAGCTTTCGAGATGTCAACATAAGAAGATAAAGAAACCAATACTTTCCTATCATATCTATAAAGGTATCTCTGTTTCTTTTTATTGTATGTGTTGTTTTCTTTTAAGGTAGTATAGATAGCTCAACTATTCTAGTAGATACCTGGTACCTCTGTCCACCAAGATCTCTATTTTGTTTGTGCTTTATCCTCTATATGAATGGACCTAACCACAACATCCACGGTCTGACCTACATATTTTGGTTTGGCTTCTTTTTTTTTTCTTGATATTATTGTATCTACATAGTTTTGGTTATGAGATACTAGATTTTATGATGTTCAGAGTCAAAGGTTATATAAAATTTGCTTCTTTAGACCTTCTTACCCTAGTAGGTTGTAGGAATTTAGAGACTGAATTTAGGAAATACTCCTTGTGTTTTCATTGCTATAGTGTAATATATTTATACAAGTATTTTGCTAAATACAGAAAAGAAAAATCTGCTATATTTGTACATTATCTATTGGTTATACACTATAATTCAAATCCAGTTATTGTACCTATTTAGTATACAACTATTGTACCTATACAGCTAATGTACTGGTTGTACAATTCCCATATATATATATATATATATATATATATATATATTATCTGTTTGTAAACTCAATTACTTTTTTGTATATAAACTTGAGGTCTCTATAAAAACTCATAAATTTCAAATCTTAAATCCGCCTCTAGGTGAAAATTTGTCAATCATTGGCCTTCGAAGATTATTATTGGAGGGGGTTTGTAGAGGACGAAAATTAGANATCTAATGGCTGTGATGAAGCAGCAATATCTGATCTAAAAGCACACATTCCTCCACTTGGCTTGTTTGCATTTTTGCAAGCTCTATTCAAAATAATCGGACGGCTCTAGTTGAGTCTTTTAGTGTTTGATCTTGTGGACTGGGCAACCCCACATGTCCCATTAACTTTATCAGATAATTGAGAGACCAAGGCTTTAGTCTCTTGTACTTGTCTGCATTCCTGAACCTTCTTCTTGCTTTCATCAAAACTCTATCTTTCGAACTCTTCAATCATTCTGCTTTTCTTTTGTGAATCCTTGAGATGAGAATTATGAGAATTGGAATTGAAGGTTTCAATTTCAACACTCCCCTCAAGTTGGAGGGTAGTAAAAAAACCCCCAACTTGCCAAGAATCAAATGATGGGAAGGACCAGACAAAGATTTTGCGAATAGATTGTCTAGTTGTGAGGATGAAGGGACAAACGAGAGAGAGATCGGTCCAGAGATGAATTGTTGCTTAACAAAGTGGCAATCAAGTTCCACATGCTTGGTCCTTTCGTGAAAGACCGAATTCCGAGCAATATGGATTGTTGCTTGGTTGTCGGAGTGCACCAGAATAGGAAGAGATGGAGCAGTGTTCAGATTTGTAAGTAAACGAGCTAGCCAAGTAATTTCTGTCACAACTCTTCTCATGGAATGATATTCTGCCTCGGCGGAAGAGAGAGATACTGAGGATTGTTTCTTTGATTTTCAGGAGATGGGAGAGCCTCCAAGAGTGATGAAGAATCCACTAATCGATCGATGCGAGTCTATACAAGAATCCCAATCAGCGTCGCAAAATGCTAACAGAGTGAGTAGGGGATCTGTTGAAATGAAGAGCCCTTGAACTGGATCCAAACGCAAATAGCGAATCACTCCAAGAGCAGCAGAGAAATGGGAAGTGCGAGGTTGTTGCATGAATTGACTTAAATGATGTACCACAAAAGAGAGATTCGGTCGAGTATGAGTCAAGCAATTTAATTTTTCAAAAATCCTCCGATATGAAGTTGGATCCTTTGACAATTCTCTAGAATCTGCACTCAATTTGCATAAAGGATCCAAAGGTGATGAAACCATTGAGAGATGACTGCAATTGTACTCATCCAAGAGTTCCAAGATAAACTTTCTCCGATTAACTATCATTTCATGTGTTTTTCTGAGTATTTCCAAACCCAAAAAATAATTCAAATCCCCTAGATCTTTGATTCTGAATTCTGAGTCTAGAAAACCCTTTAATTCAGACAATTCCTCAAGATTGTTCCATGTTAGGACGATATCGTCTACATAGACTACTATGATAGAAATAGAAGTGCTTGTCCTTTTAAAAAATAATGAATAATCGTTCATAGAAGAGACAAAACTTTGAAGTTCAAAGCTGTCGTAAGCCTTACATACCACTGTCATGATGCCTGTCTTAGTCCATACAAAGACTTTTTGAGTTTACATACATGATTTGAACTGGGGCAAGTTATTCCTGCAGAAAATCTCATGTAGACTTGTTCTTCCAACTCACCATGCAGAAATGCATTATTTACATCTAGTTGTGAAATTCTCCAACCTTTCTTGACTACTATTGTCAGAATACATCTAATAGTGGTGATATTTACCACATGGCTAAGTGTTTCATTGAAATTAATCCATTCCCTTTGAATATCCCCTCTAATTACCAATCTTGCCTTCAATCTTTCTATGCTTTCATTTGACTTATGTTTTACCTTATACACCTACTTACAAGGTAAAGCCTTTATTCCTTTTGGAAATTAACAACCTCTCAAGTCTGATTATCAATTAGAGTTTAAATTTCAGACTCCATTGCGTGTTTCCATCCTGGATGCAAGGATGCTTCATAGAAACTAGTTGGTTCAGTGATATTACAAATGGAGTTTATAACCTGCTGGTTGGAAGTTGATAAAGCAAAGAAAGAGTATGTTGGGGGCTAATGGGTTGGTTGAAGCAAGAGTCTGTCAAATCAGTAAGATAAACTGAATTGCATATATAATCATTTAAATATCCTGACTTTGTATGTGGCCTTTTTGATCTTCTTAAATGACTTTCAGAAACTTGTGCAGGGCTCTGTCTGATTGGTGATATGGGAGAAGAAGAAGGATAAGATGGGAGTTGTGGACTCTCTCTAGTTGGTGAAATAGGATGAGAAGAATAGTCAGATGTGAGATGAGGGTCTGAGACAACTGTTGGCTGAGAAGGGACATTACTGATGTCTTTAGTAGTTGAAGGTGTGAATTCAGATTGTTTTTGTGAAGGTGTTGGACTGGAAAAAAGGTGTAGAATGTTCATTTGTTGGCGAAAAAGAATCAGAAAATGGGTAAATATGTTCATAGAACTTCACATTTCTAGATCCTATCATTCTCTTGCTCTTTAATTCTTGCACTTTATATCCCTTCTTTCTATAAGGATATCCCATAAATATACATGCATTGGCTCTGTTTGAACTTTCCTATGTTGTGTGAAATTTTGGAAGTGTAACACAGACAACCAAAGCTTCTTATAAATGAATAAGAGGGTACCCTCCCAAACAAAATCTAATATGGTGTTCTGTTCTTAAGAATTCTGGAGGGATATCTATTGATTAAAAAAGTTACAGTCAACAAACTTCTCCTCAATAGGACATAGGTACCTTAGATTGATGTAGCAGTGCCCTAGAAACTTCCAATAGATGTATATGTTCCTCTCCATAATCTCATTTTGTTGTGGAGTATGAACACATGATGTCTGATGAATTACGCCATGAGATGCAAATAATTCAGAAGAAATTGTACTCCCCCAAGCTCTAAAGCATGGTCTGATCCAATTACTTTCACTTTTATATTGAATTGTCTTTCCACCATGGCCAAAAAAAATACTTCAGTGGATAAAATGCATTGCTCTTGGTTTTTAAGATCGGATAACTCCATGTACCTCTACTATAATCATCAACTATAGTTAGAAAATATTTATGTCCATCATGTGTAGATATTTTGTATGGGTCTGTGTATTAATTCAAAGACATTTCTAGAACCGATATCATTGGATAAAAATGGCAACCTTGATTATCTTGCTAATGGACAAATATTGCAAGAAAATATTGCAAGTAGAATCTAAATGAAAGGGAGACAATGATTTTAAACAAATATTCTTCATTTCTGAAAATGGCATATGCCCTAATCTAAGGTACCACAACCTTACATCAGAAGCATTCTTTACAGGAATTGAAACACAACTGAAAATTGAAAAGCAACTAGATTGTTCTTGACTACATAAAAAAACTGCATTCTATAAAGCTAACTTCTTATGATGATGAATGATAAAATCTAGAAGTTAAAGGCATGTCTTAGCTTCACCAAACTCTAGAGGCCTCTTCATTGAAGGGGCCTGCAACAGACAACCATATGAGGAAAAAATTAGCAAATATTATAACTGTTGACATAATCTTTGAACTGAAATCAGATTATACTTGAAACTAAAAATAAACAGTACATTCCTAAGAGTAATATTGGAGTTAAGAATGTCATTTCCAGCTTGAGTGACTTTAACCCTAAATGAGTTGGGAAGTTTGACAAAATGAGGAAAAATAAGAGGTTTTAGTTCTAAGAAAGTCTTTGAATCAAAACACAAGTGCTCTGTTGCACCAGCGTCCAATATCCAGGTGGTTTGTTTGAAATGAACAATTCTGGAAATTGAGTTCTTGAAAATGTTACCAGAATAACTTGCAACATTTGCTGCAATCTCTGAGTGCTGATGTTACTGCTTGGTTTGCATTCACATTCTGAAGAAGTTGCATGAGCTGTGAGTACTATTGTTGAGTGATTTGTTGCCCCTTATTTCCTGCATCAAATGAGTTTGCACCTTCGTCCTGTTCTCCCTCTGTTGTAAAAACTGCATTGCTTCTCACATTTCTCTGAAATCTCTTAGATTTATTGAACTTTAAATCACTTGGAAATCATATTATCATGTAGCACTTATCAATTGTGTGTCCAGTTTTATTGCAGTGAGAGCAAAGCAAATTGTTCCTCTTTCCTTTGGACTCAAAGTTTCCAGATTTCTGATTGAAACTGCCTTGATTTCCTGCCAAGAATGATGCAGACTCTCCAGGGAACTGTGAGTTTACATAAACCTCTCTTTGTTTCTCATCTTGCATCAGAAGTGCATATGTATGGTTGACATTAGGCAGTGGTGACATCATTAGTATGTATCTTTATATCTGAGTAAACATCATTCAAACCCATCAAAAATTGAATCAACCTCACATCTTGAAGAGACTTTGCCACTTTTGATTTTCCTCCACAATAACATGCACAAGTGTAGTTAATATTAGTATTTAGGGCATCTAGTTCATCTCACAATTCTTTGATTTTTGTGAAGTATCATCCAATGTCATTTGACCACTACACTAAATCGCTTAACTCCTATTGCAGGTGATAAAGTTTTGCTCCATTGGACTGTCCAAACCTGTCATCGGGCTCCTTACACAAAACTTTTGTTATCTTGGAATAGATTATATTGTCAATTATTTATTTTGACAGTGAGTTAAGAAACCATTATATCACCATATCATTTTATCTACTTCATAACTTAATGTCACGACCCAAACCGATGGGCCATGACGAATGCCCGAGTCCTACCTATCGAATACCCTTAATCATGCGTCTAAGATATAAACATTAATTAAGGGTAAGTCATGAATAACATCTGTCATGAAACTGCTGAATCACGTGAATAACATACGTGAGGAAATCATGTCCAAAAGACATATATACATATACATGCGAAAAACAGTAGGGCAAGCCGACAAGGTTGCTATAGACAACTACATATCCAAAACTAGAAGTCGACAAGTCCACGTACTATCCAACTATACATGACTGTCTACAGACCTCTAATAGAGTGTATAACTGTATAAAGGATGGGACTGGACCCCGTCGTATCCATATCTACATACAAAAAATATCTTACCAAAACAAGTAACAGCTCCAGATCAAGTGGAGCACACCAACTCTCGCTGATCAAGGATCCTAAAAAAGGGGACCGTCAGCCTATCTACCTGCACCTGCGAGCATGAAACGCAGGTCCCGGGAAATAGGGGCGTCAGTACGAATAATGTATTGAGTATGTAAGGCATAAAAATCAGTACATAAAGACATAGGTGAAACATGGAATAAAAAATTTCACCTGTGAGTCTAAATAACTTTGTGAATCCTAAAACATTTATAATGCCATGCACGTGCGTATAACTGTCGTATCATGCATAGGTATAGGTGTACATAACATCATCAAGCCTTTGAGGGCATCTTATCATATCATCTTGGCCACTGTGGGCAAAATCATCAATATATACCAGCTGATCAGGTGGTGGTGCGTATATAATGCCGTAACCTTTTCCCATATCCCATATATNGGTCAATGTACATGTATAAATGAATAAAATGCATAAGAAGTACGTTAATAAGATTTCTCGGAATGTCATAAGATCAATATACTTTGGGATAAACTTGATCAACTACGTATTTTTCTGAGACCCATGAATAGAAGATATAATAATGAGATACATGGAAATTCAAGAACATAGGCACCCCTAGTGCTTCTATGAATAGAGGTATTTATGAAAGCTGCGCGTTTGCTCATTTCGTTTGTATCGTATGAATCATGCCAAAAAGAAAGAAGAGATAGCCTTAACATACCTGAGCCGATTCTCTTGACAATCCCTCTAACACATGTTAATTGCGACAAAACACGTAACGGCAGATCGAAGTAGGGAAAAATTCGTATGATATTCTTGAGAAAGATTGCACCGTGTTCTCTTAGAATTACATCTCACGCTGCTATTACATAATCTTGTATGACTTTTGTTGAAGCAATCACGTTGCCATTCCATATGATATCTCTCTTTGTGAATTTGAGAAGTCTTTTACCTTAGTGGGTGTGGGCCCTACTTAGATGATGACTTAGCCAAGAGTTCCTCTAAATGTGCCTCCTTGTTTTGTGAGTAAAGAGTCACTTAATTGGGCATAGCTTGCTGCCACGTTGGGGGAAAATTTTCCACCTAATAATTATCCACCAATTCCTTAATTAACTTGTTAATCCTCCATTAATCCAATAATTAATCAATTACCCAGATAATTAAGAATTATCCTAAATTACTTAAATTA